TTCTTACAAAGTATGTGTGTGCTTATGCTTTTGTGTGTGTGTATGTCGGGGAGGGGAGGGCGAGGCAGGAGAGGAGGAGGTGGTGGAGGGAAATCAAAGTCTCTCCAGACAAACCAAATCAGGTTGCTTTCCCTTTCTTTGCTCTGACTCTGCCACTTGCCCAGTGGAAATAGAGGAACACTACCCACTACTCTAGATTACAGCCCAGGGAACCTAACCTGTAGTCAGGTCTGCAATGTCCCAAACATCACTGCTTTTCCCTGGGCTGCTTCCTCCTTTGTCTCAGTCAGGCTCCTTCTCCACCCTCCTCTGGACCAGTATCTAAGCCTAGGGGCTTCTCCCCCTGGTTTCTTCTTTTTACTCTCTGAGCATAGACCTTCTGTTCTCAGCTTCCTAGCTTTGCAACAGCTCTGTCTGCATCTACTCAGCTAAGATTTAGCTCCCATTAGGATTTGTATACACACCCTAATTCTCCCCTAGGTGTGGCCTAGCTGGGTAATTAGCCCTTTCCAAACAACCTGAGCCCTTCAAGTAACGTGTGGAATGAGCACCTCATCACAGTTCCCCACACATGTAGCCTGTCACTAAATCTTGTCTCTTCTTTCTACACATTTAGAAAATCTGACCTGCCTTTCCCTCCTGTCGATGGAAGTGCTTGTCTACAGCTTGTTGTTCTCTACCACTCCACTCTCCCTAAGGTCCTTGTGTCCTCTAAGTCCACTGAAAACATTACAGAAAATGTATCTTCCTTTTTGGATTATTCTGACAATCCTTAAACATCCTTGCTTACAAGGCCCTGCGTAAACATCTTGGCTACGTCTAGACTGGCCCCTTCTTCGGAAGAGGCATGCTAATTTCTAACTCTGGAATAGGGAAATCCGCGGGGGATTTAAATATCCCCTGCAGGATTTAAATAAACATGGCCACCGCTTTTTTTCCGGCGTAGGAGTAGGAATAAGAGACCTTAAGTAGGAATAAGAGATCCTCCAGAAAAGGGCTTTATTCCGGAGGATCGCACCAGTCTGGACGCTCTTTTCTGGCTTTTCCCCAAGCTGGAAAAAAAGCGGTGGCCATGTTTATTTAAATCCTGCAGGGGATATTTAAATCCCCCGCGGATTTCCCTATTCCAAAATTAGCATGCCTCTTCCGAAGAAGGGGCCAGTCTAGACACAGCCCTTGACTCTCCATTCTTGTGTTTCTCCTGAGTTATTTTTTCCCATTCTGAACATGGATACCAGCCTCAACAACCCTTTTGGCATAGCAGCCATGGGTAGGCTGGAGTTAACAGCGAGCAGGGCACAGAGAAAGCTCTAGAGGTAGATGTAATAAGCAAGAGTTGGTATGAAAGTCAGGACAGCTTCGGAGATAGTACCAGGCCATCCCTGGAGGCAGGAATAAGGATCAGAGTTAGAGACCAGACATAACTGGCTAGAATCAGACATCCAGAAACCCCAAAGTCTGTATCATTACCTAGACAACTTTCTGGGCCACCCACCAAGGTTAAATAGGGTAGTTGGCCAATCAGTGGGCCACATGGTATGGTCACTCTGGCTTCTGTGGGTGGTACTTTCTGTGATGCCTATTCTCCACAGTGTTATCTGTTTCTAGCACCTTATAAGCTGCTGGTGGCACTGTGGGACTATGAGCTGTCCTAAACATCACAGTGCTAAGTTCTAAGCCCCACATCCTTCCCTAAATAATTCTCAAGCAAGATGATCTATTTTTGAAAAGCCATAATGCATGGAGGGGAGAATAGAGAGATGTCTCTAGATTTGTCTCAGCAAAATGGTCAGGCTTTGATCTGTTTAATGATGATTTTCCAGCATTTATTCTTGTTATAGCTGAATAATATTGAAGAATGTAATACTGTACAATTCAGCAAGTCATAAGAGTAAATTCTGTATATAAACACCCATACAGTTATTTTAGAGTTCGGTTACTACTATATCTCTTAAACGTCTAAAGTCGTCTTAACTATTTTACAGTTTTTTTAAATTTTGTTTTTAGGGTTTATTTTAAGACAAAAGAGGAGTTATATTTAATGCCAATTGGATAGATGAGGAAATAGTGGCTGCAATAAACATGTGATAAGACCAGAGGTGAAAGTAAGCAGGTGTGCCCTGGGACACAGCTCTGGCAAGAGCTGGCTGAGCTGCCGCAAAAGTCAACAAGAAGCTACTTAAAGAGTTGGCAGGGGCCCAGGTTGCAATAGGACAGCACCTGTAAGAAATTGTAAGTTACTTTCACCATTGAATAACACTACGGTAGGTGTGAAGAATGAGTGTGTCAAGAAGCAAAGAGAACAGCAAAATGGTGGAGTGCTGTTATTTTGAGTACAAAAAGAAGTTTAATTCTACTGATTGTTCATTACTGTAGCCAAAAACACTAAGTCTTTCTGCACAGAATGAATAATAGATATAAGAAATGGAAAAGATTTGTCGGGTTATAGCTAGTGTGTTCCCTTGATGATATAAAATATATTGCTTCCTCCAGTTTTTTGTTTAAATATTTTAAATGGTAGTCTCTGCTATTACTTTTGGGACCAATTGAAATTACCTATCATGTGGCCAACTTGAATTCCTTAATAAGACTCTAATGCACGATCTCTTCTGTGGTTCTTAGCATAGTGCTTTCATGCAGACAAAAGCAAGAAACAAATCTTTATTTAAGGAACTATGGGGTTGATGTCAGTTTCTCAGCCCTTTCCCATGATTCTTTTCGCACACACACAGTTCAATCATTAGTATGCTGTCATTGTGAGCCAACTGCACATATGGACACAAGGACTGGCTTGTCCTTTACGTTTAGCAATTGGTGAGAACAGACAAAAGATTCTTTGTTCTGTAGCTGCTGTGAAGCAAGTTGAGATTCCCAGATCACATGCGTAGGAGGCTACTCCCATTCTGTCCTACTAAAGCTCTGGTGTTTCTGTTCTCATGCAGATTGTGGATTCAACAGACCTAGACATTCATCATAATGAAAGACCATAGGCTCAGTTCTGTGCCTAAGATTCAGCCAGGTTTATTGTCATCAAGGCACGGGCTTAATGCCCAACCAGCCAGTCCCACCTACACTAACTCATGTATGTTAAGGTATCAGCTCAATCAACACAGAGTTGACCCATAACTAGACTACTACAAAGTTGCCCCTCTTATCACTCTCTTTTTCTACATTGATATACACAAGTTAAGTCTTACATTCCAGATGTTATCAATTGCCATCTTTGTACCTGATAGTTCAAACTAAACATCCTCAGTTATGAAACAAAATACAGGACTATGTAGCACTTTAAAGACTAACTAGATGGTTTATTAGATGATGAGCTTTCGTGGGCCAGATCCACTTCCTTAGATCAAATAGTGGAAGAAAATAGTCACAACCATATATACCAAAGGATACAATTAATTTTTTTTAATTGTTTCCTTTGGTATATATGGTTGTGACTATTTTCTTCCACTATTTGATCTGAGGAAGTGGGTCTGGCCCACGAAAGCTCATCATCTAATAAACTGTCTTGTTAGTCATTAAAGTGCTACATAGTCTTGTATTTTGTTTCAGCTACACCAGACTAACATGGCTACATTTCTATCACTATCTTCAGTTATCTTATCATTCCATCTCTATCTTACAGGGGGTGGTGTGTTCCTGTTAAGGATGTAAAAGTTTAACCAGTTAACCAATAAGCCTTAGCTTATTGCTTAACCTTACTGGTTAAATAGCTCACAGGTCCAACCAGTGCTGGCAGCCTGTGGTGCTGGCAGTGCCAGGAGCCTGCAGGGATGGCAGCCTGCACAGAGTTTATCTATGTAACCGATTGAAGTTCAATCGGTTACATAGTTAATGTTTTTTAAAAGTTTTATATCCTTAATTCCTGTACCATTCTCTTTGGAACATATTTATGTTAGCTGAACCTAGTGCTGACTATTCTAACATGGCCTAGTTTTGGTCACAATCTTATTGTGGATTATACTTTTAGCCATGTCTATGGCTCCATCAAGGCCTACAAAAACATAGGATCTATTATCACTGAAACCTGAAGCCAGCATTTGGTTGGAAATATGCCTCGGGAAATTGAGCCAGGATGTAGTTTCCTTGCCGCCTCATATTGGGTGCTCCAACTTTCTGAGCAAAAAACCCATCATTTTATCATACAGAGTGCATCATTATTTGTCTCATTAACTACTTTTTATTCATTTACTTAGAGAGTACATATGTGTAGTAGCAGCACAGATTAAGTCATCATCTTCTTACCAAAAAGAGCTAATTGTATGTACAGCTTTAAAATGCTCTTCCATTGCAGCTTACATACATTATTAAATGTATGTTATATAAATTATTGAATTTTACATACATTTATGCATTTTCAAATATATAAAAAACGTACCAAATAGTATGTTGTGTTATTCTTTGCCAATGTCCTTGAACTTGCCTGATCTTTCTGGCAGTTTCAGTGAAATGATGGGGCGCACACAGTTCATTTTCTAGTCAAAACCAAAGTTACATTATAGAATATAGGCAGTGGGCACAGTAGATGTTATTTGGATCAACAGAAGAAAACTTGTACTTTTTTATTGAAGTTTTGCACTTTTTGTTTTTGGAAGCTTGGTTACTTTCACACCAAAATTCAACACCTCCTTTTGCCCCTTTTTAGGGAATGTCTACAATGCAGTTTTTCCAGAAAAATGGCCATTTTCTGGAAAAACTACACTTACGTCCACACTGCTATTGCATTCTTTTGACAGAAAGCCGAAAGAACAGAGGAGTTTTTCCAAGAGCAGTAAACCTCTTTCTACGAAGAAGAAGCCTTTTTCCGAAAAAGGCATGTGTGGACGCAGAAGAGAGTGCTTTTTCGAAAGAAGAGGCTGCCAGGAAAAAGCACAGTTGCCCTGGTGGCCACTCCATCCACAGTAATCACAACTGAAATGCGAGATAGCGTCCAATGAATGTGGATGCTATCTTTTGAAAAAGCACATCACTTTTTCGTTGCGCTTTTGTTCAATTTTAATGATTGTGTTATAGATCAGCTCCTTGGCACAGGAACAGTGGAGAATGGAGTCTCAAGAATCCATCCCCCATACTACATTTATTTATCAATGGGAGGCTTTTCTTTGGACACTTATTTCTCTTCAACCTCCCTCGTAGCTCCTTTAATCTCGCTACACCTTTAGACACTATTCAGCAGAAAAGGTAGGCCACGGTCCAACTATACACTCACTGCAGAAGCTGTGAAAGGGCTGATGAGCTCAGCTCTCTGGGCAATGGACGTATTCAGCAGAAATATTAGTCTACCAAAAGAATCTGTTTTCATCAGTTCTTCAGCTCCTTTGTAGTTCGTTTTGTTTTTGTAGTCATGGTTGTAATAAGAGGACAATGCTTATTTCACTGAACCTGATAGCTGAGCCTGAAATCCTCTTCCGTGCCCACAAGTGAATAACCCAAAAAAGGATATTGTCTTTTGTCATTGGGCAGAAAAAATCCTGACCACCATCATCTCTCTTGAAATCATGCTGTGGGCTTCAGGATTCATTTTTATTGCCTTTAAGTTTACTCATTTATGGTTCTTTGCAAGTGAGTGATAGGGACGGTACCCAAAAAGGCCAGCTGTGTATACAACACTGGCAATGATCTCTGAAAGAAAGAGTTAGCACACATTGATCCTCTTGGACAGAAAACAAAAATGTATTTACATTTTCATACTGGATACATATAGAAGAGCAGCCACAACATGTACAATGTTTTCTGACAGCTCCCAAATTTAAAGAGCCATCTACATTGTGGTGGTAAAAATACAGGTGCATCTTTAATTGATAAAGCTTCATAAAGCAAGCTAAAATAATGGAGAAATCTGATTGTCAGTCAGCCATGTGGTTATCATATCTTAGTCACATAGGACCCATTAGTTTAGTCCTAAAAGAGCTATTAGTGCAACTGCAAAAGACCTGCCTTTAACAACTAAGGGCCCAATCATACAAGGTAAGGAGTATCCTTAGCTCTGAGTGAATGAATGGGAATTGAGGACCAACAGTCCCTTGCAGTAAGAGCACAGTACTTCAGAAGAAAGGATCATTTAAAGCCTCTTTAAGCTTTTATATTTAGATAAAATAAAACCCAGGATTATCAGATTAAAGGGAAAATATTCTTAAATGAAATTAGCATGTCAATAATATTAACTATTTCCTGACAGGCCATTAATGTTCTCATTTCATATGATTTAGAACATTTCTAATGAAAGCAATTCAGATCATAGGTGGATTATTATTTCGAGAGGCGCTGTCACATCCTAATCCTATCATGCAGTACTGCTTACATGCTGGGCATCTTTAAACCGAGAGTCGGCAAGAGACATTTACATTTGTAACAACTGGGCATTTATCTGTTTATTTATCTGTGCTAAAAAAAAGTTAGGCTCAGTCAGAGCGGTGAGGCATGATAATCTTGCCTGGGGAAGGATACTGATGGGCTTCATTGGTTCATCTTATTTTACAAAGCCTTATAAATTGCAGAGTGTGCAGCAAAAACTCTCATGATAAAGCAGAAAATGTTAACATATGAATTTAAGATGAACAGTGATATTTGTAGTGATGAGTCAGAGAAGACCTCTACATGCTTTTGAGATAGCTGTATTAAAAGAGAGAGAGAACACATCCACCACAAGGCTCAGTGCATTTGACTGCATGCATAGCCCCTTGCTGTCCTCTTGGAAGAGCGACTGTGCATGGCACAACTGACCTATTTGTAATGGTGAGTAAACACTGAAGGCTGCATTCACCCAAAAATGATTTTAAAAGACTGCTAAATATGTTTTTTTCTGTACGCAGTAGAGCTTCCATAGTCTGGCATCCCTATAGCCTTTTGTCAGTTGAATAGTCTGGAGCGATCCTGGCAAAAATTCTTAGCACAGTACTTTTATTGCTAATGTTCAATCTGAAGCAGCTACAACTCCCTTCAAAGGGATTTACCAGAGGAGAATATGGCTTTCATGTGGTTAGGAGGATCACCCAAATTACAACTTGCAGTTTTCAGAAAGCTAATTTAAGGGATAGAGAACGCTGTGAAATGCTCTATTTATGTATGGAACAGGTCCAGCACAGGCAACACCAATACAGGCTTCCCTGCACTGACCCATGAGTGTGCTTCAATATAATTTAAGCAGGACCTCCTCTAAGAGTGAGAGAGTATTTTAGTTCAGTTCCCATATTCCTTAAAATCCTTGGCACACTACTGAGACCGCCACTTGGGGTTTGTCACATTGCCAGTTAGAGAGTTTATATATGTGAAACTGATACTTATGAGCTACAAATTAGACTAAGCTCAGATATGCTCCCAAACAACTATCAGCCACTTTTCAGTCACTATTGATCTGAAGCTGTTGGGAACCCATTATCTAAAAGTGTAAAACTCTTTATTTCATTGCCATCCAATCACCCACAATGAGTTTTTTTTTTAAATCCACTCTTTCTCGCTTAAATGAATACAAAGGTGTTGAAGAATTTAACTTTGCATCTCATCTAGTATCGATATGAATTCAACCAATGACCTTTGTTTTATTATAAAGAACAAATATAGACGCTGCCCATCAATTGCAAGGAACTAAGATGACCAAAAATGTTTTTGAAGGTTGATGTCAATTTATACAATTCATCAACAAATATGTTCAGTTGACTTTACATGTATGTATTATTTTTGAAATAGTAGATTTAGAGGAAAGAATAGTTTTCATGTCTGATATTGGTTTTTTGCCCCTCTTGTTTCTATCAGGTTTCCAATCTAATCCAATTTCTTAGGTAAAATTAACATAGCACTCTTAGATACCAGGATTAATCCTAATACACTGCACACTCCTCTGAATAATTACAGATTTTAAAATGTCTTTAAAAATGGTAAAATGGACATGTCATGCAGTTAACCAAGTCAATGCAATCCCTGGTTAATATGCACATTCTAAATGTTAAGAAAACTTCTTACTAGTTCCACAAGTTCACCCTATCTTAGGAGATGAATGATCTGTCTTTTGCTGTTGTTGTTTCATGTCATTGTACATGAGCTTCACTCCAACTGCCTTCATAAACTCAAGTCAACAATTACATGTTCAAATATCTGTGTGTTTCCTTTAAAACTGGAAGCAAAGAAAAAATCTCTTCGATCCGTTGACACAGCTGTGAAAGAGCGAGGTGCCTGCACGTAGATTTCTTTAAATATTCTAAAAAGGTTCTTCTCATTATCCCACTGATATATCTGGGAGAAGGTGTAGTCACTCCCCAGAGCTAGGTAGTGATTATTCTTAAAGGAGAAAGGCTGCAGTGTCATTGCCCCTCGAGATGGGAGAGCCTGTATCTCCACAAACTGCTTGCTATTCCACTTCATGACTCTGGAGTCACCAATAAATCTTGTGAGAGTAATGTAGAGGCTGTTCTGCATTCTGAAGCTCTTGACAGCCAAGACATCCTCCATGTTGGGGATTTCACTGTGTGGGACAAACTTTTTTGAATTTTTGTTCCACTGGAGTATAATGGGAACTTGTGAACGACTTGACAGGATTAAATGAGATTTCCCATCTATATCGACAAATTCAGCATCTGTGTCCCTAAACCACTCGTGCAGGGACTGGTAAGAGTAGAATCCTTTGTTATTCCATTTATAAACTGTTGACAGACCAGCTTTAGAGCTATCCGCTATAACAAAAAACTTGTCACTGTCTATTTGAAACAGCTCTATATCATTTGGCTTGGAAATGCGAGAGACTTCGATGTCCTGGAATTTGACAAACTTTGTCCAGCTTTCATCATACCTGTAGATGTGTGAGCCACCGAAGAGCTGCGCCACTACCACAAAGACCTGCTCATCAATCAGGATTGCTTTGCATCCCACGATGGACTGACCTGTTGCTCAAACAGAAAGCAAAAAGTACTCATCTAGTACAATTCAAGCATTCAAACAAAATGTGAAATTTACAACGTTTACAAAGCTTTCCCTCTTTCTCTCTCATTTTGTTGTCTTCACTGCTGCCAGTTTCTGTTCATGTTCTACCTAGCAACATGAGTTTCATTTATACTGTAGGCAGCATATCATGTTTTTTGATCCAGCAATAAGTGAGGAAAGACCACTTTGGAAAAGCAGGTTTCTCATGCAGTGAAATCTTGGCTTTAGGAACCAAGATATTGATTGCCCGCTTTGTGTGGACTGGAGGGGCAGGGAGTAGAACAGGGGTTGGCAAAATACAGCCTGAGGGCTGGATCTGGCCCGCCACACCACCAGATTCAGCCGGTGGACCACCCTTCTGGGATCCTCAGGCATGCAGCTGCCATGGTTTAAAGTGCAGTCCCTGTGTTTCTCTGCTCTGCAGGGACGGGGGAAGCTTCGTGTGATCTCCCTGCCCCCAACCCAATCCTCAGCTCCTATTGGCCAGAAACAATCAGCCAATAAGACCTGACCTCAGTTAATCTCTCAGCTCTTATTGGCTGGAAACAGCCAGCCAATCGGAGATGAGAGATTGGCCTGGGAGATGGGGGCAGCGCAAGCCTCTTCCCCCACTCGGAGCTGAGAGTCACGTGGAGGGAACAGCCTTTATGTTCAAGTGGTCTGGGGCTGCCGTAGGCAGGGAGATGCCTTGGGAGGGTGCTGCAGGCCAGGAGATGCTTAGCACCTCTCAGCCACAGCCTGCCCCTCCCACATCCCAACTCCCTCCTCCACGTCACCACCGAAACACTCTGCACCCCCTACCCCAGGTCACAATTCTCTCCCAGACTCTGTACCCCCTCCTACACTCTTCCCCAAGGCCAGAATCCTCTCCTGCACCCCAGCACCCTCCCAGACCCTACACCCCATTCCCCTGCCCCAGGCTGCAACCCCCTCCTTCACCCAAACACCCTCTCAGACACCACACCATCTCCTGCACTCCAGTCCCTTACACTGTGCACCCTTCTGTACCAGCTTCCATCCTAGACCCCACACTCCCTCCACAGAAAAGTGTGGCCCTTGACCATTTACCAAAAATCTTGGTGCCCCCCCCACCAAAAATTATTGCCCACCCCTACTCTAGATGAACTGTACATGGAAAAGCCAGATAGTGCATCAAGAAGATCAGTTTGGGATTTTACACTCTCTACATAAAATTAATGATATTAGAACAGATAAATATTTCATACATGTTACTGATATTGTGCCTACACAGTCTGCCTACTGCATGGTCCTGATATCAACCTCTGAAGCATTTAGTGCTGGCCACTGTCTAAGACAGGATATTGGACGAGATGGACCTCAGGTCTGACTAAATACGGCAGTTCCCATGTACCTGTAAACAAGACCCAATTTTGCAAGTTGTTGTACAAGGACAACCTGTGCATGGAGGCCCAGCTAACTTCAGAGGATTGTACAGGGATGTAAGAGTCCACTTATGAACATTTTTTTCCTGGAGCATAACCCACTCTTTTTTGCTGAAGGCTAAATATCATAGAGACAAACCAAATGACAAGCTTGCATACTCTGTTATGGTAAGGGCTATCCTACTAGAAACGTGTGGCTCTCTGTGCAGTCTAGTCCAGTAGCTCTCAGTCTTTCCAGACTACAGTATCCCTTTCAGGAGTCAAATTTGTCTTGTGTTCCCTCAAGTTAGACCTCATTTAAAAACTACTGGCTTAAAAGATTAGACTTAAAAATGCAAAAGTCTCACAGCACACTGACTGAAAAATAGCTTACTTTTTAATTTTTAACATATAATTATAAAAAAATCAATAAATACAAATATTGTATTTACATTTCAGTGTAAAATCAGCAAATAAGCAAATCATTGTCAAATGAAATGATGTCACCAGTTCATGTATAAATCTGATATATTCAAATGTGTACCTGTGATGTTGTCATAACTTCTGAAATTCATCTCAATGTGATCCCATTCCAGCACCATGCAGTTCTCCATGCTAGGCTGGGCAATGGCTACATACACATCATTCTTAGAGTTGAATGTATCCACTGAAACTGACTCGTATGGCAAAATCTGATGTACAACAAAATCTAGAAACAGACATTTAAAAAATGACAATCAGTCCCCTGTTGTAAACACAAAACAGTTGACACGTGATTCCTGTTTTCTGATCAGTACTATTGGAAACTATTTTAGGATTAACAACTCTGGAGTAATGATTAAGTTCACAATAGCCCTAACATAGGGAGTGTCAATGAGTGACAATTAGGCATGCAGCATGAAGGGGAATTTGCCTTTCTGCGCAATGTAAATGTCCCTTCAGAAATTAATTCACAAGAAGATCGAGCCATGTCATTTGTGTTAGCTGCAAAATCTGCCTTGCTTAGAAAATAAACCTAGAAACTGACTGTACTATATAGGACTACTGTCCATGAGTAGACTGTGAAGTGTATAATTCCAGCATCACTGAAGTCATGGGAATTTTGCCATGGATTTTAACTCAGTCAGGCTTTCACCCCAAAAAACCAAGACTCCAAGTTCAACGCTAACTTTTGGTCACTTATTGCTATGTCCTGTGTCTTAAAAAAAATTCACTATTATATATGTGTTTGGAATTGAGCCTACACTCTGTACTTGCAACCTGTTATTTATTCAACATAGACATTTCTGCATGTCAAATTAAAGCAGAGACAAAGTAAGTTCAATTTTACGTTGCTTTGGGATAACCACATCCCAACTACCCCAAACCTGCAAGGACAGAAACGTACAGCAGAAAGGGGGCCTTGAAAGATCATCTAGTCTAGCCCCTGTGCCAAGACAGGACCAAGTATATCTAGGGCAATTTGTAATTTTTAAAAAGTAACATTTAAAGGGACACTGCCAAGTATTTTAGGTTTAAAATTTGACCTACTTTAAAGAACCTAGGATGGCTGTTAAGGCTGAGACTTCAAAAGCACCTAAGAGAGTTGGGAATCCAACTTCCAAATGCATCCCTAAGTCTCTTTTGAAAAATCCCAGCCTATATAGCAATTTTCGTCTAAAATTCACTTAAGCCTAGAGTTCATTTTATATGTTGCACAGTAGGAGACTCAGGTGTGAATCTGATACTTGCTCTGTTGCAACATTAGTTTGGTGGGGGACTATTATGAAGTAAAAAGACTTCTAGGGTGACATTTGTAGGTCAATAAAAAGTATCATTAACAGAGCTCAGGTCTAGTTTGGGAAATACAGGGAGAAAATGAGTCCCACAGACATCCTTAGGTATTAGGCTCCTTATGCCATGCTGTACATGTAAACTTTTCATATTCAGTGGAATAGGGGGGGCCCTGATAGCCCATGAATTTTACCATCAGTTTAATCATGTCTTCACTCTGACCCTTTAAAAACTGTTGCCCAGTTCTGTGCACTTCAGTGGTGGTTAAAGAGATATCCTTATTTCCTCTCCAAAGTAACTATTAGTTGATTCCAAAAGCTGGACTTTACATCTATGAAGATTTGAAAGGCCTACCCTTGGGTAGTCATGCTGCAGGAGGTAGGACTACATAGCTACAGTTAATCAAATAGAAAATTTACCACTCCACAGCTAAAAAAAGAGAACAGCCACCATTTTTCTGGTGACCATCAAAAGCAAAGCATGAGTATTTATGGCAAGCTCTCTTGTATCAGTGAAATAGCAGATTCCAAAACCATTTGTATGTATGCTGATAATATTAGTGAGGCTGGTGTGAAAGCATGTACTTTTAAAAAGGAAGAGTGTTGTTATATTCAATTCCTTAGGAAAAGTTAAAGGATTGAAGAAAACTGGTAAGTAAAATACATGGCGAGTAAAAATAAATGAAAAAAAATGTAGTTAAAGATGGAACCGTCACTCTAGCTATTATTAAAGTGTGTGTGTCACCACATGGCAATGGCCCTTTAAGAAGAAAGAGGCCAGTGTATATGTGTCTCATCAGCTGCATCTCAAGTGGGGTTAAGAGACGGCACCTGGGCCATGTAAGTGGGCAGAGACTGGCAGGTGAGAGCTTCCTGGTAGTTAGGGATTGGCTGGTGAGAGTTGCCAATGATCAGCAGACTGGAAGAGGTCTCTGAGAAAGCAGAAAACTATATAGGCCCCCCCCTGGAAAGATGGCGCTATTGCCAGGAAGCCAGTGCAGGGCCTGTGAAAACATGGCCAGCAAGGATTGAAGGCTGAATCTGAAGTAGGAATTGAGCCTGTAGTTTGAGTTTGCAGTTCACACTACATAGGCAGGGGGATAACTGCAGACTCCTTCACCTGGGGAGTTGCAGCTGAAGGGTCAGAGTGGGCTGAAGGCTGCAGTGAGGCATGATGAGAGATTCGGGAGCACCACCTATGGTATAAGCCCAGGGAGAGATGCTAAAGCTGCAGAGAGCAGATGCCAAGGTTGCATTTTGATGGACAGCTGGGGACTTGATTTGTTATGCTTCATAAGTAGGGGACATTATCTGTCATTAATTAGCCTTACAGGCACATTGGTCACGCTGCAGCCTTAGGCTGGAGGGAGACCAGGTGAGGCTGTTTTATCACAATACAATACAAAAAGAGGGTAGAAACAAAAAACTAAATAGAGTTGTCATTGACAATGAAATGGCTTCTCCCATTAACATCCCCACCATTTTGAAACAGTCTTAAGGCAAGTGTCTGAAGCTTATGAATTAAAACAAACCTGTCCATTGGTATCATGTGGTCCATAGCTTGTTCAGAAGTGACACTATATCAACAAAGCTATCTTGACTCACACCTGAGACTGGGTTTATTAGGTCACTGGATTGATAATAATACTAATCAAACTCTCACTGAATCGACAGATAAATGGTCCACAGTAACGAGTAAAAGTCACTAACATTTACACAATGTTTTTACTGCATATTTAAAAAGACTGCCCATTGTAGTTTGTATGGAGTTACGCAGAAAACAGATGTCATCATCGGTCCTCAGACTTTGACTTTATGGGCCTTGTTTGCATTTTCACTAAGGCCCCTTTATATCACTTCAGCAACAGAGAGGCCATAATGTAGAGACATAAGGGCTTATCTAAACACTCAGTGATCATCTAAAATGCATTAGAAGGGTGTGATTTGTAAAGCACTCTAATATGTTGCATTCTAAGGCCAGGTCTACACTAGCCCTGGAAGTTTGTCTTAAGGTATTCAACTCAATCTATGTAGAATATGTAGCTGGACTTGGCTTACCTTACTCTGAATTTGGTGTTGTCCTGACTGCGGAAGACCAATGGGAGTAAATGCTCCTGTTGGTTTCCCTTACTCCTTGCAACTGCGAGGAGTACAGATACCAGCCAGAGCTGTCCTTAGTGTTCGATTTACGGATCTATACCAGACCTGCTAAATCGAACACCAGAATGTCTATCTCCAACACAGCGAATGAAGATGTGCCCTACGAGGTATGTATACACACTGCTGACCTGCTCAAGCAAGAAACATTAATGTGAACCAGATATATTTTAGTGTGCGCCAGCAAGGTCTACATGGAAGAATTAGATTGCCACACAATAGAGTGCTTTATACATCTCATCCCTCAGGAAAATCAATCCAAATTAACTGAAGATGTGATTTTAAAGGGGATTTGTTTAAATGACTTAAACCTCTGCATGGACAACCTCATTCAGAATTACAGTGACATAATTAAAAAAAAAATTACATTATGCTAACCTGAATTAAGTTTAAATCTGAATGAGAACTTCCACATAGGCATGTAATATAGTTTAATCCAATTTAGCAGTTTTAGTTAATTTGGATTAGTTTTCCAGAATATCCCCATGTAAACAGGCCCACTTTAAGATATACTTTCCACTTTAAGGCTGTTCTGTGCTGCCAGATCAGATTAAAAGTTCTTTAAAGTCAAAGAGAAGCAGGTCTTATAAAATAAGATTTAACAAAATCTGGAAACAATTTTTTTAAATAAGCAAACATTGCTGAGCAGTGTTTGCAAGCAAGCCCCTGAAGCTTCCCCATGCCATTGTAGGAGAATCTAGGAGAACTAAGGAGAAATAGATTAATCTATTTTCATTGTCCAAACAGTGAGAAATGCGAAAACTAAAGTGATAAAATGGTTAAAAGTAAAGTTAGATGGTTAAAATTCTTTCAGTTCTAATAACTGAATATGTTAAGAAATGTTTTTCAATTTTATAGCATCCATTTGATTCAGTACTGTTTTTTCAGTTCATCAGATCTGGTATGTCAATAGAACCACTGACATGCAAATCTTACAGAACAAATTCCTACTAAAATCCGAGGTATTTTGGCAATTACCAAGATTATACATGTAGGCTATGTCTAGACTGGCATGGTTTTCCACAAATGCTTTTAACGGAAAAGTTTTCCGTTAAAAGCATTTGCGGAAAGGAGCGTCTAGATTGGCACAGGCACTTTTCCGCAAAAGCACTTTTTGTGGAAAAGCGTCCGTGCCAATCTAGACGCGCTTCTCCACAAAAAAGCCCCAATCACCATTTTTGCGATCGGGGCTTTTTTGCACAAAACAAATTTGAGCTGTCTACACTGGCCCTTTTGCGCAAAAGCTTTGCGCAAAAGGACTTTTGCCCGAACGGGAGCAGCATAGTATTTCCGCAAGAAGCACTGATTTCAGACAGTAGGAAGTCAGTGTTCTTGTGGAAATTCAAGCGGCCAGTGTAGACAGCTGCTTGTGGAAAAACTTACCAGTCTAGACACAGCCGTACTACCTGATGTGGATCATTGCGAGTATAACACATTGAAAGGTCTCTTAAACTATGCATAATAAGGGAGGGAAAGATGGTATTGAAGATTACGTGAACAACTATGTGAAAGTGACTTATGCTGAGAGATAGGAACAAAAAGCAGAATAAACCTCCAATGAACAGAGAAGGGAGAAGAATACATTTAGCACTTGCAGGCTGTGTCTAGACTGGCAAGTTTTTCCAGAAAAACTTGCCAGCTGTCTACACTGGCCACTTGAATTTCCGGAAAAGCACTGACGATCTCATGTAAAATCATCAGTGCTTTTCCGAAAATACTATGCTGCTCCCGTTCGGGCAAAAGTCCACAGAAGGAGCAGTAGTAGAATAGTTTGTCCTATCTTAGCTCTTATGTTCAGTTTCCTCTTATTTGTTCTATGACGATTATTTAATTTGCAAGTTAATGTTAGTACAGTGATTTGAAGCTGTAAAGCAATATACACGGTGGCTACGTCTACACTGGCATGATTTTCCGAAAATGCTTTTAACGGAAAACTTTTCCGTTAAAAGCATTTTCGGAAAATCATGCCAGTGTAGACGTAGCCACCGTGTATATTGCTTTACAGCTTCAAATCACTGTACTAACATTAACTTGCAAATTAAATAATCGTCATAGAACAAATAAGAGGAAACTGAACATAAGAGCTAAGATAGGACAAACTATTCTACTACTGCTCCTTCTGTGGACTCTCTTATTCTGGTAGATGAGTCCCTTTTCCTGATTTTGCTTACCACAGTTTGGAAATTTGATTAAGAAACTAGAAAAAGGAACTTTTGTTCCAGAATAAGAGAGCTATTACAGGGAACTAGTCCATAGTAGATGCTGCTTTTTAAACTTCCACTCTGCCCGATTCTGGAATAACTCCCCACTGTTGACAAGACCCAATTCCAGACAGGCTCTGTGACTTACCTGATGCTACAGACAGACTCGAGGGCAAAGTAGGGATTAGAGCTCAGAAGTGTCTAGTTTTTAGTTACACACTTGGGGTACTATGCTGCCTCAGTGATGGTGCACTTCCTAGACAATTTATTCTCTATTTCAGGAATTGTTTTGTTAAAGACTGTTCCTCTCCAAACTCCTTTTCAGGAGGCCCAATGTCACAGCACCAACTTTTGTCTAATTTACTCTTATGCTCTTATTAAAGAACCCTGTGATTCAAGCAGTCACTTATTACACCATGTAAAACCTTAGTTTCTAACATACTCCCTAAGGCATATAAGATCAGATTTATCCCCAGCGTAATTTCTTTTATACCAGGCCAATGAAG